GCAGGGTAGCAGGAAACTCTCCGCACACTCACCGGACCTGGGCTAGGACTGGGTCTTGTCATACATTTAGATGCCAGTTTTCATCATACTGTATCCTAATAGATTATATATTTTCTTTTAGTGGTGTTTGCGTATCTACTCCTGAATGAAAGAAATAGCATTTGGTAAACACTACAGGAATCTACCAGAAAAGAATAGTGATTTTTCTTTTCTACAACTGCTTGGGAAAGGATTATAAAACTCCTTTTTTTTTAGTTTATTTTAAAACTTTCTACCACGACTGTTTTCCCTAACTGCTGCTTCAACATTGATTTTCCCTAGTATGTCTGTAAGCCTTGTGGCTTCTCAGCCACTTTATGCTTTCACAGAGAGCAAATTGGTCAAGCACTGACCATGACTGATCCACATGGCTGACACTGACAAAGGATGTACAAAGTGCGGTACTGGGTTACAGGATAAATCCTGAGGGGATTTGACTGACCTTATCTGATATAAAAGTTACGTTTCTTGTTAAATAGGTCTTGCTTTATCTTGGTCTTAATCATCCAGCAGAAAAGTATGAAAACGAAATATAGAAAGTAAAGTCATATTAATATGCTGATCTCTAAAAGGCTCAAATCAACAACTTCAGACATTGACAGTCTTATGAAAAACCCACTACTATTATGGACTACTGGAGTATATTGGATTATTTTGCTGAATTCATTCACCTACAGTATTTGAATGCTAGTGGAATGCCCTTCTCTGACAAAAATAACCAAAAAAGAGGGATACAAATGAACGACCATTTTGTATCTGTATACTCAAAATAGTTACGATAGATATCCAGCTCCATTCTCTTAATTCAATGAATAGAGAAGTTTGTTCTAATAGTGTTTGAGACAGGATAGCACGTCTGCATCTTGTACAATGAATAACCACTAAGAGAACAATATGTAATGTATTAACTATTGAAAATGTACTAGTAATTGGTTGTGAAACTGTCTCATTGTTATTTGTTTCTCAATAAAAATATAAAAAACCCACTTCTAAATGTTCCTTCAGTTAACCCTCATTCAGCAAATTAAGCAGAATGTTGGAAATGACACCAAGGTATGATACATAAATAGATCCCTTGAGATTAAGAAGTGATAAACTTTTGCAGACAGATACATATTACTTTTTCAGACCTTGAAACATTGTCATAAAGACAGATTGCAGATAAATAAAACTGGATTTAAAAAATAAATAGGTGCTTTTTAAAGTTAGAATTCATTGCTATAGGATATCTAAATTTCCCACAATATTGATAACAGAAAAATGATGTTTGTTGATGTTAACTTTTTGATTTTTGTTTTTTGGCCACTGATGCTACCACACTACTTTACCCTTCCTACATTTTCTTTCTTTCTTTCTTTCTTTCTTTCTTTCTTTCTTTCTTTCTTTCTTTCTTTCTTTCTTTTCTTCCTTTCTTCCTTTTTTCCTTTCTTCTTTCTTCTTTTTTTGGCTGACTCAGGCTGCCCTAACTGCAGCTCTGGTAAGGCACGTGGAGCTGGGAATCGAACTGCAGTCCCCTGTGCCTGACTGGGTTTGAAAGCCCCCATCCTTCCTAAATTTCTGCTCCTCCCCATTCCTTCCTGTCTTCAGAAGTTTGATGTTTAGTTTGTTTTAATCAAAAATGTATGTCTCTGCCTAAAAGCAATGAGTGAAAATAAACCAGGGCTACTTTTTTGTCTTGTTGGGAATTGTTTTAACACTGAGCTACATTCCTCAACCACAAAACAGTATTTTTTAAAGTTCTATTTTAAAGAAAAAGAAACAAAATCAAAGCAAATACATCAAATTTCTAAAACAATATGATAGAAAGGTAACAATGTTTGATACATTGTATGTTTGTTATCTTTAAACTGAGAATAGAAGATATCACCATTGAATTGTCCAAACATTATTAGCACAAACTTATCTTTTTAGTGAAGTGAGAGAACTATTTTAACTATTTTGTTTGTATATATATAAAAATTTTTTCCTGTTGCTTTTTCCTTCTTCTTGCCTTTTCCTCAAATCGGTTTCTTTTTCCTTTTGAAGTTTCTTTCCATTTTATAATATCTACTTTACACCTTGGATCTTAATTTTACTCTTTCATCTTCTCATGTTAGGGAAATACTATAATGAAAAGCAAGCTTTTTGCAGATTCTTTCAGTCTTTACTTTTTATGAAACAAAATAATTTAAAAATGAACATAGCAGTATAACATTTTCCTCTTTTTTGTATCTCTTAGGGCCCTCCTGGCCCACCAGGGCCTCCAGGACCAAAGGTAATTTTCTTTGTCTTTATGTGTTTATTAGTTGTAGATTATTTTTGCTTATTGTCACTGAGATTTTAAACTTTAACCTCTCTCTTCAGGGGAATATGGGCTTAAATTTCCAGGGACCCAAAGGTGAAAAGGTGAGTAAAGAGTTGGTCAACCCTTAGCTTTCTCCTTTCATATGCAGTCAAACTATCTTTTTTCTTCCATTATTTCTTGTAATCTACATAGTTTACATGTTATATTGTTATCTGTGGTAATTTATGAAATATCACTGTCTTATTTTATCTTAAAAATAGGGTGAGCAAGGTCTTCAGGGCCCACCTGGACCACCTGGGCAGATCAGTGAACAGAAAAGACCAATTGATGTTGAGTTTCAAAAAGGAGATCAGGTGAGTAGGTAGGGAAGAAATCAATAAAATTCTTACTATGAATATGTTAATTAAATTAATTATGGTAATCATTTCACAATATTTATGGATATCAAAACCTCATATGGTATCTTTTAAATACATAGAATTTTATTTGTTAAGTATAACTCAAATTGAAAAGATGAAATAAAAAATTAAAGCTATCTGGCTATGAAAGTATCATTCTGTTAAAGTGCATTATAAACTAGAATATGGTTAAATGTGTGTACTTTATAAATTTATAAGGCCTGGGTATATTAAAATTTCTAAGATCACTTTATGAAGATATCATTTGTATACCATAAAATTTATCCACTTTATTATACTTTTTTTTTTGGTGGAACCGGGGATTGAACTCAGGCCCTTGTGCTTGCCAGGCCAGCACTTATTCTACCGAGCTATCTCCCCAGCCCTTATTATACATTTTAGATATTCATAAGATATTGAAACTATTACTATGACCTAGTTTTAGAATATCCTCATGATCCTTCTCCAAATGGTATAAATCTATTAATTTTTCCTCCCTATTCTCTTCAAACTTGCCAATTTTATGCAACTACTGTCTATTTCTTGGCTCTGTGAACTTGTCTATTCTGTATATTTTATATAAACAGAAGCATGTACTGTGTGGTCTTTTCAATCTACTTTTACTTAGCATAATATTTTCAAATTCAACACGTTCTTTGATGCTACTGGAAATCAAACTTAGGGCTTTGTGCTTGTCAGACAGACACTGAGCCACTGAGTTACATCTTGATCACCCACCCATTTTATAGAAATAGCAGTACTTCACTCCTCTGAGTTAGTTTTAGGCTATTGATTAGATAGTATATATCCTGTTTACACATTCATCAATTAATGGCATTTTGGTTATTTTCATTTGGGGCTTTTTGCATAATATTTTCATCTATCAAGTTAGGTCATAGTAATATAGATCAGGATTTGTACACTTTTATTTCAGTTAATAATAATAATAAAGCTAAAAATAAAGGCAAATTGTATTGAAATTCTACCATCAGTACAGATTGAACCATGTCATTCTCTGCCTAAATGTATGTGTGCTGTAAGAGCCCCCAAATCTCCTAGATTTAAGTATTCTTGCTTTTTATAAAAAATCATTAATACTTTCACTTAAAGCATTGTCTTATTTGCGTCAAAGCATGACTGCTATATAAAATACTAGAATTGAAGCAACTAGAGAGGTCTCTAAATTCTTTTGCCTAGGCGATTTCAACATTGAGTAAGGAGTATTCTATTACGTTTGGTTATACTGCAGGAATCTACAGTTATGTTTGCTAAGCGTATACCTAGCTAGTTCTAGTTGTCAGAGTAATAATGCATCCTTGAGTAGTAACATTGTTATTCTTCTCCCTACAATTATATAGGGACTTCCAGGTGACCCAGGGCCTCCCGGACCTCCAGGCATACGTGGTCCTCCAGTAAGTAAGATAAAATTATTTAGCATTATTTTATGTAAATTGATATTGATGATATCCCATGGACTAATGGGAAATTACGTTTTGTATATACAGGGTCCTCCAGGTGGTGGGAAAGGTGAGAAGGGTGAGCAAGGAGAACCAGGCAAAAGAGTAAGTCTTATGACTATGAAATTTTGTACAAAAACTTTTAATATGTCTATATGTATGTATTTTATTTATTTTCTTAAATCCTTTTATTGCCTAGAAGTACTCTGACTGTCATTCCTATTTTTTAATAATACTAAAGTCTAGAATGTTTACTTAATATAGTCCAGAGCAGGAATAAAACTTATTATATTCTTTAGCCTTATGCTTCCTAAGTGTTGAGTTTTATGTTCTTATTCTCCTATTTCTTCATTTTCTATAGGGTAAACCAGGCAAAGATGGAGAGAATGGACAACCAGGGATTCCAGTGAGTAGCTGAAGCACTTTCTTCTCATCAAAGCTGGTAATAGTTGTAGATATGGTTTAAAAGAAGGATAGTAAAAACTTAGAATTTGAAAATAGCTTCAATGAATGAAATTTATTATTTTTTTCTCTTCTGAATATGAATTTGAGATATTGAACTCAAGTTGGAAAAGGTGAGTCCAGTCTCAAAATGGAGGGCCATGATCCTAAGGAACCAGAACAGTTGAGGAAGCTGTTTATTGATGATAGTTTAAGAAAACATTTTGAGAAATAGGGCAAACTCACAGATTGCGTGGTAATAAGAGATCCTCAAACAAAACATTCCAGAGGCTTTGATTTTGTGACTTACTCTTGTGTTGAAGAGGTGGATGCAGCAATGTGTGTTCAACCACACAAAGTTGATGGGCATGTAGTGGAACCAAAGAGAGCTGTTTCTAGAGAGGATTTAGTAAAGCCTGGTGCACATCTAACAGTGAAGAAAAATTTTGTTGGTGGTATTAAAGAAGGTGCAGAAGAATATAATTTGAGAGACTACTTTGAAAAATATGGCAAGATTGAAACCATAGAAGTTATGGAAGACAGAAAGAGTGGGAAAAAGATAAGATTTGTTTTGTAACTTTTGATGATCACAACACAGTTAATAAAATTGTTGTTCAGAAACACTACACTATTAATGGGCATAATTGTGAAGTGAAAAAGGCCCTTTCTAACCAAGAGATGCAGTCTGCTGGATCACAAAGAGGCTGTGGAGGTGGATCTGGCAACTTTATGGTTTATAGAGGAAACTTTGGAGATGTTGGAAGGAATTTTGGCCATGGTGGAAACTTTGGTGGAAGTGGAGGTTACAGTGGTGGAGGAGGTGGCAATAGAGGTAGTTATGGAGGAGGTGATGGTGGATATAATGGATTTGGAGGTGATGGTGGAAACGATGGTGGTGGTCCTGGTTATAGTAGTAGAGGAGGGTATAGTGGTGGTGGACCAGGATATGGAAACCAAGGCACTGGGTACAGTAGTGGTGGAGGAGGGTATGACATTGAAGAAGGAAATTTTCGTGGTGGTAAATATGATAGTGGTGAGCACTATAATGATTTTGGAAATTATAGTGGACAGCAGCAGTCAAATTATGGACCCATGAAGGGGGGCAGATTTGGTGCAGAAGCTCTGACAGTCCCTATGGTGGTAATTATGGATCTGGTGGTGGAAGTGGTGGATATGGTAGTAGAAAGTTTTAAAAAAGAACAGAAAAGGGCTACAGTTTTTAGCAGGAGAGAGAGAGAGAGAGAGAGAGAGAGAGAGAGAGAGAGAGAGAGAGAGAG